GTCACTTACTGTATATTTACTTTCACAACCACAAGAATAAGCCCCGTTACAAATGCAACATGGACCCATGATAGTTAGCATCGGTATATTGTTTACATCAAGACAAGTTACAAATAATGTCATCAGTCTTACAGATCAAACTGTTTTCCTTGTATGCACAAAAATATTCATTTTTAAGAAAAACAAGATTATTTTCGGAAATATACTATCCAGCTTCGTTATTTATCTAAAAATTATGTTAACGCAACCTCTTCAAGAATGAAATGTTGAACTCACATGTCTAGTTAAGCTACATTATAATAATAGAAAACACGCAATATGTGAAATCTCGAAATGATGATCGATTGTCAATAAACACTATATCTTTTTTATTTCTACATTTCGAAAAGAAATATTATCTTTTTTTTTCAATGCTCTAGTTTTTCTTGCTGTTCGCTGAATATGTTTCTTTTTTCTTGTGTTTTGTTTTGATTATAAACATTGAATTCAATAGCAAACAAAGCTGTTGTATATATCCTTTATATCTACAGAGCTTTGTTATTAATGTTGTTCAGCATCGGTAATCCCAGTCAACAAGATAGTTTAGCAAATGAATCAAATTCGCCTATAAGAAGGTGTATACATGCACGACTTTAGTTATTTATCAATGGATTTTTATCTTTCTTAACGACATTTTATTATAAATTCATTAAAACATTGAATAGCTGCTCAGTAGACAAGATAGAATGTGGCCAAATTTCTACAGATGCTAGTCGAATAGAATTGCCACAAGCACATGAAAGGACTTAATCTGAAGATAGGCCGTGTATTCTGGAGAATTCAGGTCACAGATAGTTTCGTCTACCTCTCGACCATCACTTTTGATATTTCGAAAATAAGCACTTGGCCCAATTTTCAACTCCCCCCCCCCCCCTACGATCTGTATCGGTAATGGTTTCATTTTTGATAAGGTTATTTTTGAATAGCTTCATCTTTAATAACATAATGCATACCAGAAAAACTACCTCTAAATGAGAACAAAGTCGATGCTAGAACTAGAGTTGTCGTTTTAATAATATCAGTACTCTTGTTGAACAATGCCGATAATTTGTCCTGGTGGACACTCAACGGTAACTTGTTGCATACAACCTTCACAACTGCCACAGCAACAACATCCTGAACAACTTTGTAATTCACGATGAACTCGAATAAGTTCCTAAAAGTAAAATAAATATATTTTTTAAATACAAAAGAAAAATTATTTATAATTTCGACTTGCTCGACTATAATTGTCAAGAACATGCATAGTAAATTCTCGCTC